TAAAAGCAGAGATTGAAACAAAGTTCTTGCCAAAAAACGCGTGACGACAATCTCCATCATCACCATTAGTGGTGATCAACCACTAATTTCCTTTCCGAGTGCTAATTGCAACGGCGACGCACCTAGTGCTGAAGAAATCTCATCATTTCCCAATTTATATTCCTTAAAACTAGTATGTATCTCGCACACATTTTGGAATAAAGAGTTAAAAGGCGGAGGGAAATAGAAGCGTGTAGAATCAAGGCGAGCATTCATGCATCCCTTTTAACAGCTTTCTGCCACATCATCCAGAAGAACATATACATATAAATATGGATACATATATTCAACTCTAACTGAACCACAAAACCAAAAAGTTAAAAATAAATAAATAAAGGACACACATTAACAAATTGCAGATGCATGAGCCTTATCCAGAAAGGCCTCCCAAATCARCAACAAGGGAAAAGAGAAAGCAAATCATGCAGAAACTATTTAATCAATGAGTAAAGACAATTATAACATCTGTTAATCTTTTGTGTAGGTTATAATGAGATGCTGCGGGGGAGTAGCCTTTAAGGGGGGAGGTAGGGAATCCTTTAACATCTGCTGGAAGGGCAAAGACTGTGCAATAAATGACTTTAAGTGCAATCAGTAAAATGAGAACTGTGCAGAGTTCACAAAAGRCCTATATAAGAGATTGAGGATAACAAAATATTTTGCCAAAGGTCAACTCCTGCAGCACTCGAGGCTGAATAATCACTGCCTGTTTAGAGGCCACATCAAAAACAAACGTGACTGTACCTCTGAAAAACAATTCCTTCCTCATTTGTGTCATTATAGCAAAAGCACATGCTGTTGCTCTATATCATGTCAGCTTAATGACTTATTAGAGCTGTATCTATCAACCTTGAGCAGTTCAGAATAAACAGGTAGGAATGATGTATTTTAGAGACCAAATTCAGGCCAATTAGACTGATATAGCACTGTGGCGTGCTGTAAAAGCAATGTGATTCTTGCTTTAAATAATTAATCATTTGGTAGCTTCTTTAAAAATCCAATTATTTACTCATTTTGCCCTTGAAAACAACCATATGCTGGAAGCTGTTACTCTGAAAATGCGAGTCCAAAAGCGATTTATCCAGTTTCGCATGGCCCTCTGCTGGTAAAATAACCCCGTTTTGTCAGATCCAGCAAGCAGAGCAGCTCAAAACAGTGTCCCTTTCACAGCAAAYATATGCTGTGCCCTAGGAAAGAGCACATAGACCAGAGCACCAGGGYTTTGCCTAAGTTAAGCCACTACATAATCCCATGCCTGAAGCGCCAGGAGCTCTGCGCTTCCTGCGGCCTGCGGACACAGCCGGGAGCATCGCATGAACCCCAGGCTCCGAGCAGGGATGGGCACTGGAGCAGGCTCTTCCAAGCAGGGCCACCCTCTTGCTCTGGTGCCCAATTCCATGCAGGATCAATGCACACGAGGGACTCCAGGTTGCACCATTAGGCAATTCTTAATTTTGCTTAAGCCAAGTCAAATTAGCACCAAAGCACCGTAAGAGAGAGTCATATTCAAAACAAAAATGCTTGTTACCATCCAAAAGCATCTGYGCTGCAAAGGAGCCCCTTCATCTCCCTCTTCCCCATCCCCACTGCCACCACAGCGCGGTGATTCCGCACGGCTCCCATCAAAGCAACGCRGACAATGAAACACGCGCTGTGGTCGTGTGCAGTAATTAACTCCTGTTATTTGCATCACTGTCTTGGTAACAAAGAAACAAAAGCACGTGCTAAACTGTTGAATGTAACAACTTAGATAAGGATAAATTATAATAATCAATTAGCACTGTCAAAGAAGATCATTTGTGGCCCAGATGTGGTGCTGCGCGGAGCTACTGGGTGCGCAGCAGCCAAGGCTAGTTTGGCTCTGCAAACCACAGTGCCCTGTTGTGGGAGCCTTGTCAAACACGTCATTAAGCAGCAGCACTTGTTTCACTGCATCCCAATATGAATTAGACCCTTTCTCAGCAACAGAATTTTTATCCACTGTTTTATTATCCAATCTGCTTTTCGGAGTCTACGCCGTTCGCAGCCTGCGGCACCGCGAGCGGCTGCAGCACAAGCCACGTCCACRGGACTCACCTCAGTGGCCACCACTGCGAGCATTAAAGATTTAAGTGCCTTTCAGGTAACAGCTATCCAACTATTCGCCCCCAAAATATCATGACTAATTTACAGAACCAGCCAGAAATACCCACTGTAATTGTCATTTCTGYACACTACATGAAGGGTATCATTAGACAAGAACAGTGCATTAAGTGTATTAATGGTTCATGTCTACTTAACCTCTACAKTTACCCTATTTTAAGTAATAAAACCAGGTTTTAGACACTAAAACTTCCACAGGTCTATCAGCAGCTTTACTATGGATTTTACTTAAACACACGCAGTTACTTGAGCACAACTCCCATCCCAAGAGGAGCTCAACACAGCCAGAGGCTGGAGCTGCCCAGCACCTCGGCGTGGATGAGCCGCGCTGAGCTCCTTAGCCAAGGCGCTTCCCTTCACACTATTGTTCAGGGCGTTTATCCCGACGACAGGGCCCCTTGTCAGACCATGACAGGCTGGAGGCTGCACGGATTTGGTTTCTTTTCAGACTGCAAGAAAGCCTGAAGAATTGTGAGGCCGTGGGCAATTGTCCCCCGCGGCGCCGCGAGAGGACGACACTGCATTGTGTGCGGCTCCTCGGGCCTGGTTCTCAGGCCTGCAGCTTTTCACCCAGGGAGAGCACAGCCAGGGCATCGATCACTCTGCTGAGCGGGGATCTCGTTCTATACCCTCATTTGCTACGTTGGAGTACAATGAGAAAAAGGAAATGTAAATGTAAGGAGGAAAAAAAAAGTTCAGAATGGAAAATGGAAATGAGATGGCCTCAAACTCATCAGGCTTGAGARCCTGTTGCTGCACTTGCAGAATTGAGTTGAAGATTTGCTCCTGACTGAAGTGGAAGCAGCATCCAACTCTCCCGTGTTACATCTCACAGGGCAGGATTTCCATTTGTTAGAGCTTTAAGCTTCTAAGCAAGTACACGCAGCTCCCTTTATGCGCAACAATAAAAGCAGAGAAACCCGTGAAGTTTTCTGAAACAGGTGTAAAATTCATAAGTTACAGCCTTGCAGTTAAAATCAGTTTAAATAAGAAAGATAAGCAGAACCTTCTTGTTTGTTCATTTAAATCTCATTTTTAGTTGTTTTGAAGATTTTTTTTAGGCACTTGCCAACATGATAGCTGAATGCTCTGCAAGTAAAACACGCTTCTCAGCTCACAGACCATCATTACTGGCCACAAGCTGACAGAGGGGCTGAAACATAAGCCCACAGAGCCAGCGCAGTAGAACCCACCTCAGATCTACTGCTTCAGCCCTAAACCCATCCCTTAACCCCAGGGAAAGGCTCACGACCCTCTCTTCTTCACCTCTAAATTCATGGGTGGCATCTAAACCACAAAAAGGTCTTTTAAAAGAACTTTTTGCTTAACACTTTCTGAAGGACTAAGACGGACACCCAAACAGTACGCCAATCTCATGGCAAAGCTAAATTTATAGAGATATATATATATAAGAAGGGATGCTTCAATTCCAAATACAGACAGAACAAGTCATGAGTTGCATGAGTGTCTTGGCGTGCCAAACCACATGATAATAGCACCACCAAAAACAACAGCAAAAGACAGACAGGTYTTGATCTGCTCTAGAAACAAGGTCACTTGAGAGTGAGTGCTGCAGCCACTGCCACCCAGACCTTAACAGGAAGCCCTACCAACCTACTGCTGAGTAGGACGGACCGGTAAACAGAGTCAACAGCAAGAGAATCAAAAGCAAATTGGTAGTGCTCATAATTAAGGAGGAATCCTCTAATTCTGTTTTATTGATCTGTGCTGACTTACCCTCATATAGTTGCCAATGAGAGTTTCAGATTTCTGACTGCGTTCTTCAGAAACAGGCTGTATCTCCCCAAAGATCATTAAACAGAAGAAAATAGTAATAAAAGGGTTCCTTGTCCACAGGACTGTGATCAGACTGATTTCTGGAACAGGCAGCACATTTGAAATGGTAGTAATTTAGAAAGGGCTTCTGATAGAGCATTTGAAAGGGAAGTGCRAAGTTTCTTACTAGCTTTGGAAGCAGGTAAGCCAAGATTCAATAAGGCATGTCCAGGGGTCAGTTTGCCCTTCTGTAAAATGGGAATATCACTAAGATAACCCCACCTAGTTGTTGTGAAAATGACTTCATTAGTGGTCATAACAACTACTCTATCTCTCCAGGAGCAGGCACTACAGAAATACAAGTCTTTTTTTTACAGCAGTTATTAGTGTAGGAATGTTTCTGATCTCATTTCTTCATTATTTGAAGGCTTTCTAATGTATATCCACAAAATAAAAACGAAGTCACTGTGACAAGAATTTAATCCTAAAAGTGGCAGTTTTTAAAGCACTGTATGTTTTTTTTTTCCTTTTAAACCTAATGTAACTGGAGAATTTGAGCAGGCACTAAAACTTGAAATATACAGGTTTTGCTTTAACTCTACTTTGCATAAACAACCAAGCATTTTCCAAAGAAAACTATATTGCAAACTAGAAGGAAACAATAAAAATTAAAATCAATTTTATGGTTTTAATTACATGCCTTGGACTGACAAACTAAAATCTCAAGAAAGAGTACTTTTTAATTCAGATAATGATAATACTCATATTTTAAGAATTTTAAAATTTCATCACCTATTAACAGAATTACTTCAGTGTAATCTCATGCACACAAAAGCCAGAATCAAGTTTGCATTTGCCCTTTATTCTGCTACTGAAGCACACTCAGATGCATGGCTGCAATTACTCCTAGCAACTACATACTTGCTGCTCATTTAACTCAAGCTAAACTACAAACAGCAATTCTGACCCCCCAGTTATAGAAAAAAAAAAAAAAAACAGCTTTAGAGAGATGATAAAAGACACTAAAACAGCAAAAGTCTTACTTGTAGCATGCCAGCCCTGGAGAACTCAGAACCGTAAAGTCTTTGCAGTCCAGAAACTCTCTCGAGTTTATCCAGTGTTTATTTACCAAGCTTTAAAAGTCTGTGGTTGGGAGAACAGAGTTAGCTTTCTGCACCATCCCCAGCACTGCTGAAGTCCTCCAGTAAGCGCAGACCTGAAGTTTGCTGATAGTTGGGCTTGCTGCTGCTCTGTAGTTGCTCAGTACTTGTAAATACAAGCTCTGTGGACAAAGTCCCAAATGACATCACAGGCAGCTGCTTAGTGTTGAGCCTTTATTAACCGACTGTCAAAAAAAAAAAGAAAAGAGGAGAGCAGAGAGAGGAGCACAAAGTACCCTCCCTGCAGCACAATTTGCATCTTAGTAGGAGTTGCAGCGCTGCACACACACACTTCTGTTTACCCAACTGCTGCTTTCTGAGGATGAATAAACAGTGTTTGCAGGGAAAACAGAAAATTAAGAACAACCTAACCAGTTTCTAAATGGAAAAAGCTCAGGAAAAAAAAAATAAAATAAAAACTGCCAGCACAACCTCTATTAGGATTTTCTCCTGCATTCTCCTAATTCTTGTGTTTATTTAAAAAACATGTTACTAGAAGTGCATATGTGCATGGATTTTAAAGCCCAGAGCAGAGGACCTGAGCAAGCTGACACGTAACTTTCAATTAATTCTTAATTTCAAGAGTCAGAACATTTTTGAAAAACTTTTATCTTTGCAAGATTTAAGAACATTCAACTTTTGTTACACAATGTTTGGAAGAAAATCCTTGTGCTTTTGGAAGTTGAAAATATAAGCAAGAAGGAAACAGCGTCAAGCAGTTACTCACTAGGTGATAAGGGGAAAAAATATTGACCTTTCCGAAACGCTTGGAGCGGGAAGTCCAGAACTAGCGAGCGTTTGGGGCAGAGCCCCAAACTGGGCCTCTCTGTCCCTCCCAGCGGGGCAGGGCGCCCAGAGGACCCTGCTCCAAGCCCCCAGTTGTGGGGAGCTCCTGCTGAGAGCAGGGCTGGAGGCCGCTGCCTCGTTCCTGCGACCCCGGCCTTGCGGGGAGGCCTCGGGAGGCYGGCGTGGGCCGCCCCGTGGACAGCGGCGCTCCGGGACACCCCTGCCCGCTCAGATCTGGCCCYGCATCGCATGGCCCACAGGTAACGAGGCAGCAGAACCAGGAGTGGAGCCGAAGCCAAGTGTTGTGCAGTGTTCACATATGGAGCAACTGAAAATATCAACCCCAATCTATACCTGTCTATAGGGAACAAACCACTGTCGGGTCAGATCCCTACTGGCTCCACGCAGCTCTCAGCAACACACGCTAGGGCAGATCCGTGGCCATGCCCAGCGACACACACCTCATTCAGCCTGATGGCCGCGGCACCCCTGCACTCARCAGGACGGCTCCCAGGACCACACACCACATCTCCACCACAAGCTTGGACCTCCAAAGGACATCTCTTACGGATCCTCCTCCTCCACGTCCCATCAGCCCTTGGCCCACGCAGGGCTGCCTAACGGGTTGTATTCACCACCCTGACTCAAAGCCCGGCATGGGACTGTCCCTGCCATCATGCTCAGCTTGAGCTCAAGGCTTCACCTTGYCCGCTCAGAGCTTCATCTCCCATCCAGGAGCCTCCAAAACTGGCTATGGGAGCGATCAGCCCTAATGCAAAACACCCAGGAACTTGAATTCCTAAACCTGCGGACTCAGTCCCAGCCGCGCGAGCRTGGCAGGGTTCAAGCAAACAGGCCCAAGGCGACTCACGCTTACAGGCCCGTTTGCCATCCCACCAGCAACAAGCCCATCTGCAAGATCAGTGGAAGGGTTAGATTTTGTTTAAACCTGGGGCTAATTTGCAGGATGCTCTCTCAGACCAAGGGTGAGATGTAATTGCACCTGCCATTACAAAGTTTTATATACATTAACTTCAAAACATAAGTTAAATTCTTGCCCTCTTAGTAACAGAACTGGTATGTAGCTTGATGCCAACTGGGCGAGGGGAGACATGGCAGGGAATGGACGTGTTGAAGCAAGGAAAAACATACAGATTTATAAAACAGGGAAACCATTGATTTAAGAGAAAACACCAAATTATTCACAAAATTAAGAAGGGCGTTCTTTGAAGCAAAACTGCAGCTCATTCCCAACAAATATTTCCACAGTTTAGTAAAACCGGATACATACAATCTTCCTAGGATGCCCTTCCAGGCCAATTGCAGTTATCGGGGGATCAGGACAGCAGTTGTGCTGCTCAGATCTCTCTGCTCACSCACCACCATAGAGGAAGCGACACCAACTGCCTGGAGCGCATTTTGAGGGGCTTCCATCAGGAAAAATTCTCCATCAATCCCTTTCAGAACTACTGGATKTTGTAAAAATAAATGTGTCAAGAAAACAAGTATTGATATGCATGTTTAACTRTTAACTTACTCTTTCCTAGATGAGAATTCGCATGCAGGTGAACACATAGATTCCACCTTCTTCAAGTTATGACCCTTATTCAGAGAATGACCATTAAATGACCCTCTAAGCACACGCATCCATCTAATTTCTATGCTAAATCATCAAAAGATAGGGCTATTGGCTGTATAGATACAGCTAATTTGGGGTAAGAATGCCATGACTTTTCTTAGAGGACAGTTCACAAAGTCAGTCCTTGACTAGCTACAGGCTGACTGCAAAGCTACAAGTAACTGGAAGCCATGAGTTACAGGAGATGCACAGGAGGCAGAATCACGCCGAGGAGCTATTTCAGTTTCATACTGCCCCTTTTTGGATGGGCAAGCTGGTTATTTTTGGATATATTCAATATCTCATTGTCCACCTCTCCTTATTATGGTATTAATAGAAGTTTCTCCTCGCTGAAGGCAAAAGAAAGACCTGATTTGCTTACAATATTGTAATAAGCAGATGAGAAGTCATTTAAACTCCACAGAATTTTCACAGAGCGTTACAGAAATCCCCATGTTCTGCAGTGTCACACATACTAGACATAGGGGCTCACCCCTTTGGAGGGGCACGAGGAGAAAAGGGGACAGCTCCTTGCTGTTCAAGAGCCCCTTTCTCTTCCATTCCAAATCCCTAAAGCTAAGGTGGAGCTGAGGAGCCTCACAACCCACCAAGCTCAGAGTTGTTCCAGTGAGGGATATTTAACTGTGCAGCAAATCCAGTTCAATAAAGTTTCCAAGGGCAGGTTTGCAGGTCATAGAAAACCCTTCTTTTACCCTTTGATGCTATTCCTGGGGCAAGCAGAGAAAAGCTGAGACACTGAAGAACAGTTTGATAGAGGATGACTAAAGAGCAGGACATTATCACCCCMAAAAGATTATAATGTAATATTAGTATATAAAAATAATAAAATAAAGTAGTAAGAGAAGCAAAACATATATAGAGGAAAAAAAAAGGAAGAACGTGGGGGTGGCACATCCATCTCCTCAGATTCTCACCCCAGAGAGGGTCTCCCCTTGAAGCAGGGTGATCAAGCTTGTAAGCTTTTGATCACTACGACAGTTTGGTTTTTAYTCTCGCTAGGTGATTTTTCAAAGCTTGAGTTTTTCCAGCTCCCTTGTATGACAAGAACAGGGGAAAGGTCTTCATTGAAGGAAGGCTTTATTGCTGGAGCAGACCGTAGATCTTGCCCCTGGCCACTCCGCTCTGTATGGGGTCGCATTATAGACCTGGTTGGTCCTTCCCAGTTGAAACACAGCACTGCCAGACTCYTCCATATCTCCCAGATGGTTTTATGTAATGACCAGGGAGTTCCCAAGCACCTGTGGCCCCTGAAAAGATGGTACCCAGCATCCTGCAAGAGGACATTTATGGGGAAACATTTACTGCAACTTACATCCCACACCATGGGAAATCTTGGGCTAAGCATCAGGATGAAGCTCTGACACTACACACTGACAAAAGAAAAAGAACAGCTGAAAGGATGTGTTTATCTAACCCCTTAGATGAGCAGAGAGCATCCAATGAGCACACACTATTCTTCCAGCTGCACTGCTGATTTGAGATCAATTTCTAAATATTTTTCTTTTCCATAATTCCTGCTTCACTAAAATCCCATGGAAAGCATTCATAYGTGAAAAGTGATGTGAATGATGGTGTCTTTAAAGGACACTGGCTTACCCTATAAATCACCTCAATGTGAAATATAATTTAAAGCAAATCATACCGAAGTCCATTTTAAGCATTGCCACTTGACACTGGGAGACAGAGGCAAAAACTGAGTTTTTAAACTTAGGGTAGAAGAAATATTTTAAATGCAATTACTAAATATAAATACATAGGACTAGCTTTCATTAACTTTCTGGTTTAAGCCATTTTTCGTTCCTTGCCTTTCTGTTGCTTCTAGAATCATCAATCGGATTCAGCCACCAGTGACCTTCTCCACAGTTAATTGAAATCAATGGCATTAGTGGATTATGGAGCAGGCCCAAAACACTCTGTATTCGAGGGCTTTTGCATATCCTTAATCACACGAGTAAGTCTTTGCAAATYTAGATTCCAGTGGGTCCGATCATTAAATCAGTTATGCCGTGTTTAACTTCACATATGGACGATGGTTCCCTTCTGGCTACTGAGAGCAGTCTCTACTGAAAGAGGAAGGTTATTTCCATAAATCTGCTGCTGCTGCAGACGTGCGTTTCCAGGGATGCTCTCCGCCTCCCTCAAGACGCACRGCAAGGCCGGCACCCAGGGGCAGGGGCTCCCACGGGCTCTCCTCCTCCCTYGGCCAGCGGAGGTAGCGCTCCGGAGCGGCGCATTCCTCCGGCGCGAGCATCTGCCCTCTTGGCAGCCGAGTGGTGACAGGTTCTGCAGCAGCTGTGGCGGCTCCACGTCCTTTCAGAGAGTTAACCAGCCCCAGATTTTAACCTCGCTGTTTGTTTTCTGCTGCGCTCCTGGACGAGGGCCCATTTGCCCTTTCAATCAGCTGGCCCTGCGATTGCAGCAATGGGTTGCAGTTTTACACGTGCTGCAGCGGATTCTTGCTCAGGGTCTCCAGTTCACGAGCCCTACTCCTGMTGCTCCAGCAGCCCTGCCCACCCGCCCAAAGCAACAGAACTCCATCCTTCAGCCTCAACCTCAGGTCTGAGAGCTCCCCTTTTACTAAGGGAGATGGATATCAGCCCAAACGCCATATATGTGGAATACAAT